ATGCTGAAACCATTGTAAACACAATATCTGGGTGGGGGTGGATGGAATGTCAGGGAGAATGATATCCAAGCATCCGTCGGCTTCAGTAGAGGGATTCAAAAAATTTTTGCTACCAATTCTGTGGGCGTGGCTTGGTGGGCATGGCAGGGGAAGGATACTGTAAATTCTCCATTCCCTCCCCATTCCAGGGGAAGGTTACTGTAAAATCCCCATTTCCTCTCAATCAACTGGGACTCGGGAGGCAGAGAATAGATGGGGGCAGTGCCAGTCAGAGGTGGTATTTAATAGTTCTCCAAACTACTCCAAATTTCCGCTGCTGGTTCTCCAGAACTGGTTAGAACTTGCTGAATACCACCTCTGGTTGGCTTCCATGAGACATTGCTGGCATCTCAGGGATGCACCGAGCAAATGTCCCAGTGTGGCTGGCTGATTCCCATAACAAAACCAACAGAAAAGATGGGTGGACGTTATGGACTGTGGGTGGCCCATAAAGAAAAGGAGGACGCTTGCTTTCGCGCGGGAAATCCAGAGCTGGTTTCACTTCTTCTGTGCCAATGTGGATTATTCAGTCAAGTTTTATACTCTTTGGTACAATAATCTCCCAGGAGTTCCTTTTTCTGGATTCGCCAACTGGACAGTTGACAGGCACTTTTCAGACAACTACAGTATGACCTGGTTGACTGAGGCATCCACAGGCATTTCTCCCCAATCTACACACCTTAATGTCCGGAGGAAGGAACTGGGCAAGGCACAGGCTGGAATATCTTGAGGCTTTTTGAAGGCCCAGTAATAAGAGGCAAAGGCTCCTGCAAGTACACACTGTCCCAGAGCAATGACGAAGTTGATACACCAAAGGAAGCCCACAACGTTGTAGATCTGAAGATTGAAGAGGTTGCGCTGGTAAAGCCCTTCATCATTATATCTGTAGAAGATGCATTCGGTTATGCAAGGATGACTGTCAGAGGCATTGAAATCCTGAGAAAAGAAAGAACAAGACACGTGTGATATAGGTAGTCCTTGACTTAGAAGATGTTGTTGGATATCCATTTGTCTGAAGTGGTGTAGGGTTTCCTGCCTAAGCAGGGGGTTGGACTAGAAGACCTTCAAGGTCCCTACCAACTCTGTTATTCTATTAATTCTAATTTAAGAAGACCGTAGGGTCCAACATTTGAGGAGCTATCTCATCCAATAGGATTGGCCTGTTAACTCGCTCTAGCGGAAGAGAGCTACTTTGAATCCCATCTTCCGAAGAATTCCATCTGGCAGGTCCAGGGGAAGAGCCTTTTCTGCTGTGGCCCCAACCCTCTGGAATATTCTTCCCCTGGAAGTGAGGTCAGCCCCCACACTCCTAGTCTTTCAGAAGAGCTTTAAAATCTGCCTCTGCTGGTTGATCTGGAACCTTAATGAAACTGTACTATGTTGGGGTGGCTGATGGGGTAGAGAGAAGATCCCCACTACTTCCAGATCACTTGTTTCTCTTGGGCTTGTCAAAAGATCATGACCGTATGTCAAGTTGCAGTTCAAAAGATCTATTGCTCAAGCCTATACACAGGAACTAGTCCGATAAAGTTTGCAAAACTGATGTCAGATAAGGGCCAGCGGAATTCAAGAGATGTTAAATTTGGATCGTTTGTGGGAACTTAGTGACTCTAAGCTGATGACGCCTTTCACGCCACCTCCCAGCTCTGCCGGATCTTCTCCTATAGACTTCTTGTTTCTTATTTAATTTTTTTCATGGTTTTATCTTTTTTTTAATCTTTGAATCCTTTTAAAGGCCTCCCAGAGTTGCCACAGTAATCAGAAGGGCAGCATATAAAATAAATAAATAAGGTACACCTTGCTTGGTATTTCCTCTCTGGCTGATTTGCAATAAGGTTGATTTTAGGGATGAGGTGAGCATGCAGAACTGGGAGCTGTTTGCAAGGTAAAAGTTTTGGATTACCCATTTTTGATATAGGCAACATGAAGCTCAGTTATCCAGAACTGAATTGATTTTAGGCAGCTCCCGAAATTTCTACTTTTGAAGAATGAGATCTGTTTCCTCCCAATCATTCTAAACTTTGAAAAAGTGGTGGTGTGGCCAAAAAGTATCCAATTCATTTGTGAGACTACTTAAATGAAATTGAATGAAATTCAATGGTAAAAAGAGTAACGTTCTACCTTTAGGCAAGAAAAACGGAATGCACAGGTACAGTATAGGTGGTACCTTGCACAACAGTTGTAACTGTGAAAGGGATCTTGGAGTCCTA